AAGCACTTCTCATCTTCCACAGTGAAGACAGAGGCAAAAAATGCATTCAGCTTCTCAGCCATTTCCCTATCATCCTTCAGTACTCCTTTTACCCCTTGGTCATCCAAGGGTCCCACTGCCTCCCTGGCTGGTTTCCTGCTTCTAATGTATTTGAAGAAAGTTTTACGTTTTTCTCCATATGCTCCTCATATTCCCTTTTTGGCTGCCTGATCACAGACTTGCATTTTATTTTCCACAGCCTGTGTTCCCTTTTATCAGCCTCACTGTGACTAGCTTTCCACCGCTTAAAGGAAAGCTGCTTTTTACTTTTTACAGCTTCCATTACTTTGTTTGTTAACCATGCAGGCTTTTTCCTATATAGCTTCTAGGATCGTAGTTTTAAATAGTTTCCAAGCTTCCCCAGTGGTTTTGACCCTTTCTACTTTTCCCTTCAGTTTCCACCCCACATGCCCCCTCATATCAGCAAAAATTACCCCTTCTAAAGTTAAAAGTGGCTGTGTGAGTCTTTTTGGCCAATTCCCTATTTATACAAATGTTGAACTCGATAACATTATGGTCACTGTTCCCAAGGGGTGCAATCACTTTTACATCTCTCACCAGGTCTTGGGCATTACTTAGGACCAAATCCAGGATCCATCCACTGCTCACTTGGTGATCCGGGGCGTCAGCAGTGGTGGATGGATTTGCCCCCAACCGGTCCTGCCAGACCAACCCCGTTTCCTTCTTTGATTGAGTGACAAGCTTACAGGATTGAGGGAATGCTGTTGATGTTGTTTACCCAGATTTCTGTAAAACCTTTGACAGGGTTCCCCAGGATGTTCCGATGGGGAAACCAAAGGTCTGTGGACTGGACTCTAGGATAGTTAGGTGGGTAGGGAACTGGTTGGAGGACTGCACGCAGAGAGTAGCTGTCAACGGCATGTCATCTGAAAGGAGGGAAGAAGAAGAAGAGATTGGATCGATACCCCATGGCCAATGTTCCCTCTAAGCTGTGGAGTCTTGTGAGCAAAAATTCTACTTTGTGAGCTCCTGAGACACCCCCTGTGAGGTGGGTGGGGCTGAGAGAGCTCTTGACAGAAACGGCTCTTTTTCAAGAACAGCTCTAACTAGAACTACGGCTTGCCCAAGGTCATCCAGCCAGGTGCAAGTGGAGGAGGAGTGGGGAATCAAACCCAGTTCTCCCAGATTAGAGTCTGCATACTTAACCACGACACAAGAAGAAGACGAAGAAGAAGAAGAGATTGGATCGATACCCCATGGCCCTTCACTACCCAAAGGAGTCTCAGAGCAGCTTACAAACTCCTTCCCCTTTCCCTCCCCACAACAGACACCCTGTGAGGCGGGTGGGGCTGAGAGAGCTCTTGACAGAGACTGCTCTTTTCCAAGAACAGCTCTTATTAGAACTACGGCTTGCCCAAGGTCATCCAGCAGGTGCAAGTGTAGGAGTGGGGAATCAAACCCAGTTCTCCCAGGTTAGAGTCCGTGCACTTCACCATGACACCAAACTGGCTCCCTACACCAAGGGGGGTATCCAGTGGGGTGCCACAGGGCTTGGTTCTGGCCCCGGTACTTTTCAATGTTTTTGTCAATGATCTGGATGAGGGTGTGGAAGGGGCTGCTCATTAAATTTGCAGATGACACCAAATTGGGAGGAGCAGCGAACACCCCAGAAGATAGAGGCAGAATTCAACGAGATCTGAACACGCTGGAAAAGTCAGCGGATGTAAACAAGATGCAATTTACCAAGAATAAGTGCCAAGTTCTACATCCGGGTAGCAAAAATTAGGAACATGCATACTAGGTGGGGGATACACTTCTGTGTAGCAGTGTGTAGGGGTACAGGTGGTCTGAAAGTTAAATATGAGCAGCCAGTGTGATGCGGTGACAAAAAAGGCTAATGCGATCTTGGGGGTGTATCAACAGAGGCATCACAACCAAATTGCAAGACGTCCTGGTCCCGCTGTACACGGCATTGGTCTGGCCACACCTGGAGTCCTCCTGTGTGCCGTTCTGTAGGCCTCCCTTCACAAAGGATGTGGACAGGATGGGGCGGGTGCAGAGGAGAGCGACGAGGGTGATGGGGGGCCTGGAGGCCAAGAAGCCCCGTGGGGTTAGAACAGATAAAAGGAAGTACTTCTTCACCCAAAGAGTGATTAACACATGGAATTCACTTGCATGTGGAGGAGTGGCGGCTACAAGCATGGACGGCTTCAAAAGGGAATTAGATAAGCATATGGAGCAGAGGTCCATCAGTGGCTCTTTGCCACAAGGTATAGATAGGGACTCTGGGGCAAGGGATGCTCTTCTTGGTGCTTGGGGGGGGTCAACAGTGGGATGGCTTCTAATGTCCTGGCCCCACTGCTGGACCTCCTGATGGCACCTGGTGTTTCTGGACACTGTGTGACACAAGAGTGTTGGACTGGATGGTCCTTTGGCCTGATCCAACATTGGCTTCTCTTATGTTATGAGGGAATTAGATAAGCATATGGAGCAGAAGTCCATCAGTGGCTCTTAGCCACAAGGTATAGATAGGAAGGAACTCTCAGCCTGGGGCAAGGGATGCTCTGTCTTCTTGGTGCTTGGGGGGGGGAGGCAACAGTGGGAGGGGCTTCTAATGTCCTGGCCCCACTGCTGGACCTCCTGATGGCCCCTGGTATTTCTGGCCACTGTGTGACACAGAGTGTTGGACTGGAGGGGCCTTTGGCCTGATCCAACATTGGCATCTCTTATGTTCTTATGAGTGGGGAATCAAACCCGGTACTCCCAGATTAGAGTCCACGCTCCGAACAACTACACCAAACTGGCAGGAAGGTACCGACTGGATATGAGGAAACACTTTTTCTACAGTCAGAGTTGTGCCACAGTGGACTCAGCTGCCTGGGGAGGTGGTGGTGAGCTCCCCCTCCCTCCCTGGCAGCCTTCAAGCAGCGGCTGGAGAAACCCTTGCCAGGGATGCGCTCTCGGCTGATCCTGCACTGAGCAAGGGGTTGGACTGGATGGCCTCTAGGACCCCTTCCAACTCTGTGTGATTCTAGGATTCTATGAGGCCATTTCTGGTTGTCCCGGTCAGTGTTCCCTCTAAGCTGAGTTAGTGTGAGCCAGCTCACAGTTTTTTAGCCTCCGGCTCACACATTTTGGTCTTAGCTCAGGAAGGATGTGGCTCCAGAGCAAACTAATTCATGCAGGAGCCTAACGGCTCGGTCACCACTTTAATGCCAGCAGCTCACAAAGTAGAATTTTTGCTCACAGGACTCCACAGCTGAGAGGGAGCCTTGGTCCCGTTGTGTCTGTCTCTGTGCCTCTTCTCCTGGGGGTGGGGGGTGGAACTGTTTTAGGGGGCCCACCCGCCCGGTGGTGGGAGGGGACCTGCTTTCCAAAGCCTGTGGCACTCAGGCGCCTTGTGGCAAGAGAGCTCTCCCTCCTCTCCCCAGACTCCGAGCGAGCATGACTGACCGGCTGATGAGCAAAGCGGCCACCATGGAGATCCCCATCCATGGCAACGGTGACTCCAGGCGCCTCGCGGAGGACGACGGGCTGGAGCAGGTAATGGGATGCGGGGGGGGGAAGGTAACAGCAGCGGGGGGCAAGGGGGCCCACTTTGGCCGAGCTCCAATCCCCCCCCCATTCCCTGCCCCG